GTGTGTGTGCGTGTGTGTGTATCTATGGGACTGCGTTCTCCTAATCTCTCTCCGGTGCCTTCGAGGCCCACGCAACCCTTGTAGCAGTGGCTCGACAGCACAGGGCAGGAGTGTGCGCGCGTGCATGTGTATATGTGTGTGTGTGGGTGGGTGTGCGCGCGCGTGTGTGCATGCGCATGTGTGGGTGTGCGCGCGTGCATGCAGATGTGTGTGTAGGGGTGTGCGCACGCTGATGCTCAGCTCTCCAGAATGATGTCCGTGTGCGTAGCCAGTGTATGGTGGCAACATAGCCTTCCTTCATGTATATGTGTATGTGCATACTATTTGGGATGCTTTACTGTTTTTGGTGGGATCCAGTTACATAGTTTTCTGTTCAATTATTTATGTTTATACAGCTGCTGTATTTGTAGTGCAACTTTATGTCTTTCTGCTGGTCAATTTGTCGTCTTGATGGTGTTCTAATACCATGAATACTTGTAGCGTATAGCGTATCCCCGTACGTTATATTATCCCCGTATGTTACTGTATTCCCGTACGTTAGCATATCCCCGTACTGTATTCCCATACATGTACGTTAGCGTATCCCCGTACATTAGCGTACGGAGTCTGCCTTTGTATTAAAGCTGCTGCTCACGATTCTTTCCATGGCCAGTTATAGTTAATTTCGTTTCCAGTACATTTCAATTGCCAGTTACAGTGTGTTCACTGAGACCCTTGTATTTTTGCCTCCGAGAGATTGCGGCCCGCTACATACTGATATACATAGAAAATATTACCCTCAGAAAGTGTGCTCGTTGTGAAGTTGTCCTTCTTTGGGCTCAAACCATTGCTCGTGTATAGATATAGGTAGATACATATCAGTGGGTTCGATTGGTGGCGAGAGGTCAGCCTAAATTGTTTGGGGCGGAGTTCGGCACGAAATCCACGCTGAGTACTTTTTGACGACGAGTTGCGTCGGTCTTGAAAACTCTGGCGAGAAAGCGAGGAAAATGATGTCGCTGGGAGCTTTCCGCGAAACTTAGGGCAGCTAATGCCCGCACCTTCCCAAACATTGCCTCGGAACAAGACGATACCACCAGGGAAGCTCTTGTGAGCAAGGGATAAAATAGTCTCTTTTTGGCGATATTGAGCTGAGTTTCAAATTTCCCGGGCCTGGGGTCGGATTTGGAAAATAAAAGTGCAACTTTTTATAGGGCTCTTTTTCGGTGCTGGCGCTTCGCCTGATACGTGAAACCAAGAGTAGATAGTCAAGAGTGTGCAACTCGCGGATGGGTTGGCCCACGGCGGAATTTTTTGTTGACGTAATCTTTTCGACGACGCACGCACTGCGAGCCTTTTGGAGAGGTTTCCCTCGTGCACTTGGCCGGGCTTTACACTACAAGGTCGGTGCCCAGCACGTGCTCTCACACTGCTCTGCGGCAAAGTCCGCGTTTCTGAAAAAAAGGTGACGTCAACAAAAAATTCCGCCGTGGGCGGGGGTATCTGCAGATTGTGCAGGAGAGATCCGGAGTTGCACACTCTTGTTTATCTACTCTCAGAGTTGCGACACAGCTTCCAGTCTCGCTCTTGTGTACAAGGCTCTACCCTATATGGGTAATGGGTAATGAGCACTCTTCGGACCAGCAGGGAGTAGTACAATACTGTAACATGTTTTTCGATTTTGACATACTGTACTACTCCCTGCTTCGGACAGTGGAGCAGCTACTTGATTACTGTACAGTGGATATCGGTTATAAAGTCATCGGACATAGTGATAAACCGGCTATATTGATACAAAATGAAAATATCAAAAGCAAAACCAGAAAAAGCCAGTCAAATTATCATTTTAACCAAGAGTCCATATGGACTCTTGTTATAACCAATATATCGTATATAGCGATAAATCGGCTATAAGGATACAGAATCACCATTCAAAACACCTCTTTGTGCAGAAAATTTATCGTCTATAGTGATAGCAACACACGAGTGTGAGGCATTGATGTCTCGACTTGGAGCCACATGTATGTTGTCATAGGGTATTCTGGTCTGGTGCTTCCTGGATGATGCTTTTGGCCAAGAAGTTCTTCACTCTACAGTCCATTCAGAAAAAAATGAACTTCTAGCTTTTGGCCATAAATGGGTCAAACGTTGAGTTTTTTTAGAATTTTTTTCTGCAATCCCATATGGAATCCTCTTCCAATTATGTTTCTGAAGTTTTTTTGTCCAAAAAGCTAGCCATAGCAAGAATAGGATTTCGGCCAGGTTTTGCCCCAAAAGCACTGAATTGGGAAAACCATCAAAATCCAGGCCGTTTGACCCCGCCTACAACAGTGCATTCTGCGGTTCGAACCCCAGTTCAGGCACCCTTTTTGGACCCTTTTTCAAATTTCAAAGTTCGCAGCACTGCACTGTGTACGATGAAATCACGAAAAATCGCCTGTGTTACTTAATTCTGCCCGTACAAGAGGCGCCGGTTTACCAAAAAAAAAAAAAAAAAAAAATCGCCAAATACGGGAGCTCGCCAGAGCCAGGATCCATCTTTTTATGAATGGACTGTAGACTGGTCTAGACTGGAGAAGGTGCAGTAGCATCCATCACGTACTTTTTTTAACTTGGTAAACCGGCCTCTTGTACGGGCAGAATTAAGTAACACAATGATACAATAAAAACAAGTACCAGTAGTTACATACATGGACCATACGAGAAAAAGCAATGATGACGAGGCATAAACAAGTGTCTAGTGCTGTATGGCAGCTTCCCAGACAGCGAGTCGAGCGGATGACTCAGCCACCTCCGGGTGCGAATACAGCCGTCGTGCACCACGCAGGCAAGCCACGCCGGCACGGAGAAGGGCAAAGCTGAACCTGCAGCGGATCCATGCCATCACTGCAGAGTATGGCTCACCAGATTTGTCGGAGACCATTGCAGCTATTCTCTTGAGGAGAGCGGCAGCAGCTCGACCAGTACCACCAGTTGCAGCGAAAACCACAGGGATGAAGGTTCCACGCTCGACCTCCTTGACGCGCTGTTCGTATCGCCTCCGTTTTTCACGTTCATGACGCTGGTAGCAAGGGGTGATGGAAGAGGATCGATTTGAGGGAGCAAAGGGGTTGAAAACCCGAATATCGAGAAAGACTCTCTCAAACCGACCTCCCCAAACACCACTCGCCGCAACATCAAGTCGAGCCTGGTCTTCTGTGGAGGCAGTCTTGTAGCGGAGCTGCTCACCAGAGAGTGGTTGTAAGTGTGGCTCGATAGCGACACTATTGGCAACACGTTTCAATAGCGAGGCAGTGATGTCCCGCACCTCATTGTGTCGAAGTGACGGGAAACCTCCGGTACCAGTACGCTACATTAGCGCGATCGAGTACCCACACGTATATATTCCATGACGCGTGCAGTTGAAAATCGCCTGTAGTGATATACCGGTTAATATACGAATTAATGTGAAAAATCCGAAGGGCACGTTATAACCATTCTACTGTATACTGTAAATGTACAAATTTTCGGCAGCTATTTAATTTAGACTTGTATGCTGCTGCATCCACTACCACTCTGCAACATTACCTTGATGCTTCCAAGTGCACCCTGGCGCATTCAATTTTCCTTGACCAGCACCCTGCTCATTTACAGTCCCTTAATTGGTTCAATTCAGGTGGCACCACCCGAAGCTGCGTTCGTCTCCCCCTAGCTAGGTCTACCCTATTCGTAAATTCCCCTTTCTTTTCCTCCTACTCCACGTGGCTCCAACTGCCTCCCAGTGTTAGACAAGCTCCAGATATGCCCAAATTCCGTACCCTCGTCAGACAGCACTTCAGTATCTCCCAGTAAACAAAGTCACAGTCACCACTTCCGCTGCATAGCTCGCTGAGCATCCCATTGCTTTGTAAGTTGCTAATCCCTTCCCACTTTGTGTACGTGCTCTTAATTTTCTTTTTTTCTCTTCTTCCGTGGTTGGTCTCACCCTCTCCTCAATTCAATTGGCTGTCTTGACATGCCACGAGGTGCAGAAATAAATGAATAAATAAATAAATAAATAATTTCGCCTAAATTAAAACGCCAATGAAATTTTTCACAGCATCTATCGCACTATACCATGCCCTCTACCCCACGCCGAAAATAAATCGCCGCCGAAATGTCAAAAATCGTGGAGTGCCGAAATTTTGTATATTTACAAGTAAATAGAAGTACAAAGTTTCGTTTGGAATTTTGCTATATTCGTTAGGGTGCATGACATCGTGACCTCGAACAATAAGTTAATAACGTATTTAGTACGTAACGAACCTGTTGGTGGCGTGATCTCACGAAAGATTTCGTAAACGAGAATTTGTACTTACACAGTAGCCACCTTGCGAATTATTGCAAGGCAGCATTGTTAGACAGCCTTGTACAATGGTCTTATTTGCCTACACTACTACTCACACGATTGCACTGTTACAGTCAAACCTCTTTAGGACGAACCCCAAGGGACCGGTGGTATTTGTTTGCAATAACGGGAGTTCTTCTTATCCATATTTTATACCCAGTGAATACACAGTGTTTTATCCAATAAAGTTATGAATGCTAGTTCTTCTAAAGCGAAAGTTTGTCTTATCAGTGTTCTTCTTAAACGAGGTTTCACTGTATACCAGCTACACATTGCCGGTGTCGGCCTACTTTCAATCACATACTAGTAATGCGTTTACTTTAAGTTCAAAATGCTTTGTTTTACTGGGTTTCCATTTGTTTCCATTCGTTTCCATTCGTTTCCATTCTCTTCAGGCCTACATGTTCATAATCGTGTTTCTCGTCCTTGATAGTATTGTGTTTGTTTCATTGGACATGTACTTCAGTACTAATACCATACTGTAATCACACATGCAGCACAGCCATGCTCTACCACGCACACGCACACACACACACACACACACACACACACACACACACACACACACACATAAGCACACACACACACACACATACGCACACACACACACACGCACACACACACGCACACGTTCACTTCAAGCAGCGCCAGTTGATTGAGGGCATACCACAGCAAGCTGAAGTACTCAATTGCATCAATACAATATAGTGCAATGCACGATGTGTATAAAATAATACCATGGATGCAAACCAACATAATGTCATCTGTGATGGCAATTTTGAATACAATTCCTAGATTTGGGATCGCCAAGCCGTATCCAAAGCAGAAATGGATTTCCAATGCAGACAACTGTGTGATGTGGCCCTCGTGCCGTGCCAAATCGTAAAGCTCCTGCAAAGGTAGAACACAACATGAAAAACGTGTTTTTTGCGTCAGACGCAACCCTGCCAATGCATTATGTACGCAAGGAAGCAGGAGACAGCAGGCACAACTAATGTTAGGGGCTGCACAGGAGACCTGTTTCAGCCAGCAGAACGTCTAGGCTTCATTGCCAAAACTAGGCTAGTGAAATCCGGATCTACATGTATTTTGCTAAAACAAACGCCCCGTAAGACCACAAGCCCTTGCACGGATCATTGTTCCTAGTGCTAAGTTTGTACGTCCCGAGCCGGATTTCACTAGAACCAAATCTACAGAAAGTAACAGAATACCACAGTCCATTCATCGGAAACAGTCCCGCTGGCTTTTGAAAATCTGATTTGGGCCGAATTGAGGATCAAAAACCCACTTTAAATCTCAAAACCTGGGTTTTGGATCTGCTTCTCCATACATCTACGCCGCACATTTGCGACTGTATGAACACTGTGACTTACTGGATCTACGCCAAAGTCCCGATTTGGGCCGAATTGAGGATCAAAAACCCACTTTAAATCTCAAAACCTGGGTTTTGGATCTGCTTCTCCATACATTTTGCCATGGCATAAGTATCTACGCAACGCTTTTTTTTTTAAGAGAACACAAACCTACAAATCATGTTGAAAGACAAAAAGTACAGTGGACTGGGCAGGCGCTATCCACAATGCCAGTTAATAGCTGTGCTGATGAAATACATGGACTCTGCCGACCATGGG